ATAAACACAGATACCTCTTCCCCATCAACTACATTAAAAATAAATTCATAGATTAACAACAAAAAAATTAAGAGCTATCAGCATATATTTTATCTTGTAAAGCTACAAACACAAAGTAAATGTATATACTATAAGTCTAGCATTTGCATACTTAACATTTGGGTGCATCTTTAACAGTCCATGGTAGTAATCTATAATGTCGCACTAAAACACAGATTTTTAGCCATACTATAATAGCTGCTAAAATAGTATAAGAGCAAAGTCATTTAGCTAGTGACTGTACCTCGCCAATAGCCTACTACCTGAAATTTCAAGCAGTCTCATTGTTTTTCCCATGTGATACATATCCTAAAGTGAAATAAACTTTGTAAAACCATTCTTTGTTTAAAACAACAATAACATCATCAACATCATCTCTGTAAAGAAAACTAATTCCCAGGGCAGAGATGAAAGAGAAGAGGAAATGAAGAGGATTAGGATAATTTCCATCCCCAAACAGGAGATTCTGATAAATTATTAAATGGAATGACAAATCTGATGGTTGCTTGGAGCTAAAATGTGAACACGTTCATTATATGTTATATATAAAAAGTAAAAGCAGGTCTTCTATTCCAGTGATGGCAAGAAAAAGAAAGAAGGATAGAGGAAATTTATAGAGGAAATGTTATACTATAGTGATGTATACAGATTTGGTGATTCACAGAAGTATTATTATAGAAATGGATCCTCATTGAATATCACGTGTCCAATAGAGAGCACCTGGTTTTATGAATTAAATTCTTTTTTAAAATATCATACTTAATGAAAGTAAATTTACTTTTTTCAGGTAGTTCCCCAAAATACTTAATTTCCTGTAATATTACTTATCCACATTAAAGTATTGACTCAATTTTTGAGAATGCATAGTTTATTCTGGCATTACAAGTATTATGGGCCTGAACTGTTTTCCCCCAAAATTCATATGTTGAAGACCTATCTTCTAGTACCTCCAATTGTGACTACATTTGGAGAACGGGGCTTTTAAGGAGCTCATTAAGTTAAAATGAGTCTCTTAGGGTGGAGCCTAATCTAATCTGACTTATGTTTTTATAGGAGAAAATTTGGACACAAAAAGAGACACCAGAAATGCAAACACATAGAGAAAAGGCCATGTGGGAACAAAACAAGAAGGTGGCCATTTAGAAGCCAAGCAGAGAGGCCTCATGAGAATCCAAACTTGCCAGCCCCTTGATCTTTGATTTCTAACTTCCAGAACTACAGAAAAATAAACTTGTTGTTTAGGCCACCCAGTCTGTGGTAATTTGTTATAGCAGCCCCAGCAAACTAACTTACCAACAGAATATAACAATATCTATTAAAACAATTTATTTCAGAAATTTTAAAATATGAAACCTGATTAGTAAGAAAAAAAATTAAACATCACAATAACATAGTTATTTTCTCAAAACCTAAATTATCAAAACAAACTCCTTTTTAAGTTATTTGTCCATAACAGAAACATAAATCACTAACAGTTTCCTCAAACTGTAAAAGTAAGGGGAAAAAAGGGGGTGCAGGGGAATTTGATATTCTATATTAACTTATAATATGATTGCTATTTAAAACATCATTTGTAAGTACAAGCAAAAGGTAGCACATTCCCTGAAAGGTAATATAATTCCCTCTGCTAAAAATTCAGAACGAAAACATTTTTAAAAGGCATTCAAAGAAATTAGAAATTTATCAAAAAAGAACTCAAATAAATTAAAATAATATTTCAATATTTACAAATAAATGCTATATATAAATCATAAACATTCTAAAATCTAAAATCTTATCTTTCCACATTAAACATATCTGGTTTAGATTCCTAATACACTACTAAAAAATTTAAAGAGCAGGCTTGAAATTTTGTATTAAAAGAATTCAAAATCTGTTGATTATAGGTACACACTTTTATTCAGTTGCCTTAATGAATACTTAATATTATCATTAAATCACTGGTATTTTATCTATACTTCTGTAGATCTCACTCAATAAAACAGAAATTCACAGTAGCTACTGGAATATAAGCTCGTAGAGGCAAGGATTTGGTCTGTCTTGTTCCCTGCTATATTGCATCAAGAAGGGTGTCAGGCATATAGGAAAAGCTCAATAAATATTTGTTGAACAAATGAATGAGCAATTCAGGCCATTTCAAAAATCACATGACATATAACATTTTAATTTTTTAAA